AAAAGTTGCACAACCATGGCGGGGAAAAGTGGTGGAAAATCCGCGGGAAAGGGGATCAGATGAAAGTCTTACTCAATCTGTGTTGCAGTCGGAGGCAAAAAAGTAAAACTCAGTTTGAATGCAGCGCAACTAATTAGTTTTGAGGCTGCTTTTCTTGCTGCTGTAATCGCAGTGGGCCGCAGACAGCGACAATTTTCCCACTGAATTTTCACTTTTTCTTCACCCGGTTTTCTTGCCGCTACGTGCCCGGTTAAAGAAATCAAAGAAAAAACGAGTCAAACAAAAGAATTTATGAGCTACGAAAAACTTTTGGCCCCGCTTGCTGAGAAAAAAGCGGGAAAAGAAATGGGAAAATGGATAGGAGGAGATGGCAGCAGTTCTATCTTTGTTATTTTTCCCATTGGCATCGTTGTTTTCCCGAATAAAATTTCCATAAAAGTACATGCCGGCAATCGTTAATTTAAAAAATATTTAAATGGCTTTGTCAAGCGAGATAAAGCACATTCCTTTTAAATCCAGTGTGTGTATACAGATATATTTTCATTTTACTTGTCTGCAAGATCTCAATTAATTCCCTCTCCTTCCTACAGCACAAACCCTGAAAGATTTATGAATTTGTAGATGAAATATGACTTTGGTAGTGCAAGTTGCCCCTAAGCTTATATATTGTTCTCCGTTCAAAAGGCATGAAGCCAGTAAGCCGATAGAGCTTGAAAACATAATATAAATTTATGGAAGTATTGGTCATATTTTAATGTAAAACTGTATTTGATGTCTGATTTGCTTGTTGTTTAAAAAACACCCAATGGCTATTTAAAGCTGTTCAAAACCTTTTGATTTTAAAAGTACAAACTATTAAGAACCATTTAACTAATTATTTTCCTAAAGAGTTATAAAAAGTGGTCATCAAAATGGGCTGTTACTAAAGTTACGACTTTCTTATCAAAGCGAAACCCTAACGACTTTATTTGGAAGCCCTCAACAATCAGGAAACCAATTGCAGAAATAACAAATCAAAGTAATCGATGACCCCCACAAGGGTATCGAATGGATGCCAAGTGCTTTTTACGATTATATTTTATTTGGATTTTATTTTGGATTTCTCTGCCGCGACTCTTGCCTGCTGAAATTCAAAATCATGGCCATGGCTCCTAGCATGCGATTTCACGTTTTTCGTTGCTGTTTTTTTTTTGTTTTTGTTGTACGTCTTTCGGTCTTTTAGCCACACTCAAACAGAAATACAATCACAAACACTGCGACCGAGAGACACGCAAATAAATAAATAAACATGGCTGAATAAATGAATATTAAATGGCCAAAAGCTTTGACCAAAAAAAAAGGCAAAAAAAACAAGTAATAATGGGACGAGAATAAACAAAAACGATATTCGATACGCAAATGGCAGCTAGTGTTTAAATGTTTGCCTGCCTTATCGCTTTTTTTTTTTTTGTTGTATAAGTTTTTTGCATTTGTTTATTCGGATTCCAAGTGGAAAATTCAAAGCCAAGCGCATGCAAACATGGAATACGTCAAAGAAATTTCAAATTTGATTGACGACAACAAAAGATTGGACGCCGACGTCATCCGGCAAATATTTTTTAAAGCTTGAATTCGAACTCGGGACTTGAGGTTTATTTTTCTAATGCTTTTGCCGCCCACGTACGACGGCAACAACAACAACAGAAACAACAACACCAAAAGCAAAAGATCCAACGGCAAAAAAGATACAACAGCGAAAGATACTTTTACGCACACATTCAAACGGCGAGAGCGACGAAACCGCGAGAGCGGAAGCAACAACTTCGACAGCATAGAAGTGTGCGAGCCAAAGGGGGCGTGGCAGGGGCGAAGGGGGAAGTGTAAGGGGGAGTGACAAGCTTTTGCGGTTTTTAGTTACACCGACCTCAGCTTGTTTGCCGGCACAGTGGGCTCAAATCAATCCAAATCTCAGAATAAATAGCTGACGTATGGTTAATAATTTATTAAAGAAAAGTCGTTTAAGTTTGAAAAGAATAAACAATAATCAAAATACAACAATAATCAATAGTAAAAACAAGAAAAAACTTTGAAAAGTCGCCAATTACCCCTAGCTTAAGTAAATCATAAAAACTTAAGACAACGGCAATTATTTATAAATTATTGGATACCAAGTCTGGTATCAACTTTGCCCCGGCAATTGCAATCAATCCATAATTATTAGATATCAGAAGTGGTATCATTTTTGCCCCACTGCTCCCCATGACGGTGTCTTTTGCCTTGCGCTATTGTCATTTACTTTGCGGCAAGCAATTACATGCGACAAGCCAAGCGGCGGTTGTTTGTTGTTGTTTTAGCTGTTGCTGCTGTTGATATTTGATGTTTGTAGCTTATGGTTTTTGTAGGCGTGGCCCAGTTTATTGTTGTTCTTGTTGCCGCTGTCGTAGTTCGCCACATTCGGTCGAGCAATTTATGCCAAGCCGACTTCTTTTTGGGCCTCTGCGTGAAAACATGCGTAAAAGTAGCTGCGAAAAGACAGCCCACTGTCCGCCCCCTCACCCCGCCCCCTTCAAGTCATCGCATATCTAATGGTTTGCTGAAATTAAAATGCCTCGCAGCAAACATACCCAAACTTTTTCGCACTAAAAGGGGTGTGGATTAGGGTGGCTTGATTTATTGAACGTGCGCGAAACTCGGAAAATTCTAAAAAATAAGTACAATGTGATGCAAGAATTTTATAAATTGCATAAATCCATATATTTATTCAAAAACTCAAACTACCCTCACTTTAATTTAAACACTTCATTTAATCTGAAACTGTTAATCCGGAATTACAAACCTATAAAATCAAGTAATTTAAGCGAGCACTTTAACCCTTTCTCCTGTAATTTCTAAGTACCTAATTACGTTTATCGCCCTTAAATAAATTCTTGATTGTGCTCCATATAAAATTGAGCCCACCCTATTTTTGGGTGGGTGGGTGAAAGGGTGTGGGAAAGTCCGGGAATGGAGGACTAAAGCGAGATGGCTTGCGTTTAACAGCAGCGTTGACAGCCGCATTGGGCGCTTGGCATCTGTCAAACGTGTCATACGCAAAATAGCTTAACTGTCATAAAAACAACAAGTGCGTCAGGCACCGGAGATCGTAAAACGCTTTATTACAAAACCCCCTTAAAAAGGGGGGTTACGAACGGTAAATGTGCGGCGGCGTTTATGTCTTACAGATGCGGAGAAAGAAGAAGTGGTGGGTGGGTGGAGAGTGGGCGAAAGGTAAACACTCGAAATTCCCATTGAACAGGAATTCTTTGGGCGCCGTGTGTTGATTTTCATAATGTTTATCTTTTATGTTTTACCCGATTTATTTGATTTATTTATGAACTGGCCCTACCCCCAAATCCGTGGAACTTCTGTAGTTCGAACTTAATTAGCCCTAAGCACTAAACATCAGCATCTGAGGTTTTATTCTTTATTCTTGGTAAAAGCACACTTTAACTGGATCCATTTTGATGATAACAATTTGTGAAGTCATAAATGGTGACCATTTAGATAATATCAATGCAAAACTAAGCTCTGTAGTTTTAACTATTCTAACTAAACTTACAGTAAAAGTACCTTTTATTGTTTTATGGCTCATATTATAATACTACCCAGTAACGACGAAAAGAACACAAGTTTTATGGCAACTCGAAGGGTATAAATGTTTTTTTGTTTTTATAGCTTGGTCGTAATTATATATTTTTGATGTGATTTCAGCCGAATGTTTTATTTATTTACTTGGATTTCTTGTTTAATTATTTGATGTTAAACATAATTTAGGAAAGTTATGATGGTCGAATAATTTGTGTGGGTGTACAGAAAAATTAGCTTATTCACATTTGTCTGATATATACATCTTGTAAAAAATACGTTTTGAAATATTTGCGGCAGATGATTTGATATAATTTTTATGGACAGATCTTATGTACATTTTTTGGCTACGGCTTCTGCAACTTCATTTGGTTATATTTGATATATTTATTCTACTGGCTTTTGCTGATTTACTTGATTTCCCTGTTGGTTATGCATTATGCTTTATCTGATTTATTTACTAGTATCCTTTCCCACTCTCCTTATACCTTTCACATCCCGCACTCTCTTTCTCTGCTTTTCCTTTTACCCTTTACCGCTGATTTATCTTCCTCTTCTTTTGGTCAGAACGCCAACGCCTCGCACACATACACACGGCCATAGTTTTTTGCCCCATGCACATGAAAATGTGTGTGTGTGTATGTTGGGGGTTTTAATAATAGCGCACACACACATTATAAAAGCTCCCGCTGGAGCAGAGAAATGTTGCACTAAAAACTTCAACGCCCGCACTTCTGGCAAATATCAAACAGCAAGCTGAAATCACAAAAGCAAATACAAAACTTTCTTGCCAACACACACACACACATATAGACGTTCGCTTCCCTTTTCAGAGAGAGAGTTTGTGGGTGGAAAAGAGGTCTAGGGAGAAAGGGGCGGCAGTGCCACAATAATACTCTTGTTGTCTGCGGCAACAGTTATGAAAAGTGCGGAAAAGAGAAGGAGACACAAAAAAAACAGGAAGTTTGTTGATTTTTTTTTTCAATTAACACAAGTGACAGCTAGAAAGAGAGGGCGAGAACACTTCTCTGCTGGGGAATTGTACAATTTATGAGTTTTTGCACTATGTAAACAATTGCTTATACAACACCCCTATGCGGTTTATTAAATATGATTTTTGCTTTTGCCTTTTTGTTTGATTTTTCTTTTGTTTTTCTTTTGTCATTTTGTTTATCCTACATGCTTTCTTTTTTGGTTTTGTTTTCTTTTTTTAAGATGTTATATATTTTTTGTATGTCTTTTTGACTTTTCCTGGTAATAAATTATATATATTTTCTTATTCGTGTACGAATGTTGTTTAAAAATAAATTTTTCCCCAAAACAATGTTTTTATTACTTTAAAAAAATTTTGAAAACACAACAAAGTTAACAAATAGCACACACGTATATAAACATACCTCTCACAACAACAATTAGTTTGCACCAAAATGCACTGGACGTCGCTGCTCTGCTGCGTCGCTGCTACTGCGCTGCCGCCGCAAAAGCCGACACTTTGTTGTGGCTTGGGGCTGCTGCTTCTTTTGTATTTGCAAACACACAAAAACACAGAGGCACACACACTCACACTCGCGCACACTTGGCGGCGCCGATTGCTTTACTCTTTTTTCAAACAAACTTTTTTCAAAAGCACACAAAAAGGCGCCCGCTCTCCGGTAAACCGCTATTCCGATTCCAATTCGAATCCGATTAGACAACCGTCCCGCTCGCGATGCAAAAACAAAGTGAGACAAGCGACAACAGCTGGAGCAGCCCCCATTTGTTATCGATTCATCGGTATATCATACCTGTGCTAGTGAGAGAGCGCAATCAGAGAGTGAGCGAGAGAGCTAGAGGTGGGGAGCTTGTACCTGATATTTATCGATATTTTAGACAGTTACTCAATTTGAATTTGTAAACGAACCAAACTAGTTCTGTAAAGCTTTCTAAATTGTTTATTAAAGTTAAAGACATTTGATTTAATTACACTTCTTAGTACACCAATCCCAGATACATCCATCTTTCGGATTGCACCCGAATTCTCCAGGATACAATCCGCAAAAATCTTCAGTATTCATAAAGGAACAGCTGTTATTGGGACAATAGTAGCTGTAGCAACCTGGTGAACATTTGTCCCTTTGCTTATCCTTGCATCCAGAACAATCCAAAACCTCTGTAAAAGTAATTAATATGTTTTAAACTTTCTTTATATTTTTTCTATCACACTTACCGCTTTCTTTGCACTCCGGCGTACTGCATGCCAAAAGTGGCGGATTGGGTGGCATTATAACCCGCTTCGGATTCTCTCCATAGACAATCTGCGGGGTCTTGAGATATATAACAGGGGCTGTACAAACCCTAGGATCGCAGAACTTCTTCTCCTTGGATGAACACACCCAATTGGGGGCGTAGTTGATGCAAATACGAGGGCTCTTTACGAAACAGCAGCCCGGCTTGGGATTCTTCCCCGGAAATGGTTCTTCCACCACCGATTGCTCCGTGGTTGTCCTAATGCTGGGATATATCCAAGGACGTCTTGTTGTTGTCGTAGTCCTTGCTGTTGTCGCTATAATATTATCAACGACATTTTCCGGAGTACTTGCTTCGTAACTCTTATCGTTATCCGGATCATAAGGTGCCTCAGTAATGTACTCCACACGATTGATATTTTCACTGGTCACCGTGTATTTGTGCTCATTGTGAATCACATTGCCGATCTCAAGGATAGTGGTGATATATCCTGGTTCCTGGCAGCGCCTTCCATACCAAACAGTTCCCGGCGGACAAGCCGATGAAATACAACGTCCGGCGTAATATTCACCCTCCGAGCAGACAATTTTCCGGCATTGCGATTCGAAGAAAATCGATCCCGGCGGACAGCGAGTCAGTTCTTCAACGATTGGAGGCGGAACCGGAACTGGTTCAGTAGTTGTTGTTGTTGTGGTGGGTTCCGTTGTTGTGGTTGTTGTAGTAGTTGTCGGTTCTGTTGTTGTGGTTGTTGTAGTAGTTGTTGGTTCTGTTGTTGTAGTAGTAGTTGTTGTTGTGGGTTCCGTTGTTGTAGTAGTAGTTGTTGTTGTGGTGGGCTCTGTTGTTGTAGTAGTTGTTGTAGTTGTGGTGGGTTCTGTTGTTGTAGTGGTTGTTGTTGCAGTGGGTTCTGTTGTAGTTGTTGTGGGTTCTGTTGTAGTTGTTGTAGTAGTTCGCTCCGTTGTTGTGGTCGTTGTTTCAAAGGGACAGGGCTCTGGATTTGTCCGATAGCACAAGCCATCAGTGCTAAGATAATATCCTTAACATAAAATTTAAAAAAATACTTATCAAAAAAAATTACACACAAATTCTGGACTTTAAAAGTTTTTACCAGGCTCACACTTCAAATTAGTCTGCAGGTAACATTTTCCATCCGTGTTCAAGTAGTAGCCTAAATAATGAGAAATAACACATAATATACTTATATGTTTGAAATAAATTGATTGAAAACTTAGTTCCACGAGTGTTGAACCAAGTTTATGACATACATGTCGTATACGCAATATCAACATACCAAAACATATAAATGATTAGGTAATATTGCTAATCTCTTTTATGTTTTGTTTATTTTGCATGCTATTATTAGACAACCCGTGGAGCCATTGACTGATAATATTGGACACTATGTAATCGATTTTAGTACATCATGTGTGGATCTTACCTTCGGGACAAGAATTCGGACTGTGACACTTGCCGTTGACATACTCATAACCAGCTGGACAGGTGAGTCCCTATGGAAACATATTTTCCGATAAAAAATATATTTTCAATTCTGATAAACTATTAAGAGTTTGTATTTACCACGGTATCAGCTTGAGCATTGAGTGCATTGATAACCAGGCAGATGAAAAGAGCACATCTCAGCAGTTTCGTAGGCATATTGCTTGGTTTCCGGATCGAAATCTCCGGGATCTGAGACAGAGATTCGCGATCCGCGGCTGTCCGCAATTAAAGAGAGACTAATCGAAGCGTTGATCCGGCGATGAGCTAACTGGGATGATTCTGAATGGGAAGCATAATTGCTGGCGAGCGATAACCTTTTCCGCACGCCGCAGATAATGACGAAGGTCGTCGCTATAGCTTTAGACTTAGCTGTTCCTGATCTGCGATCGGTGAGCCGGGATCAGTTCCAAACGGCATGTCTAATCGGAAAGTGCTTTTCTGGCTGCTAAAGCCGCTGCTGCTAATCTGCCTCGGAATTTTTCCCGCGGAGGTTATCTCCTATTCCATCCCAAATCCCTGCCAGGGTGGTAAGTTCGTAATAAAACTTTCTGTTTTTCGGTTAAAAATAGTTAATGTTTTCATTTTAGGACAAATTTATAGCAATGGAGCCTGCAGTCCCGTCATTGTGAATGTGTTTAATGGATGTGGTGGTCAAACGGGAATCCCTTGCTTTTCTGTTAGTAATGGAAGTCCAGTGGTGGTTCCTGGCACTCCTGGTTGTCCCAATGCACCTAAAAATCCCATAGTGGATCCAATCAATCCTGTATATCCCAGTGACCCCTCAAATCCCATAGTGAATCCGGTAAATCCGCTTTGTCCCAATGCTCCCAAACCGCCGATTGCGGAGCCGATAGCTCCTATTAATCCCATTGCTCCTACAAATCCCACAGTTCCCCCAGTCAACCCACTTTGTCCGAACGCTCCTAAACCACCCATAGTAGATCCATTAGATCCTATTTATCCCAGTGATCCTACAAATCCTAACGTGGACCCACTTAATCCTGTTCATCCGAGTGATCCTACAAATCCCATTGTGAATCCGACTAATCCCCTTTGTCCCAATGCTCCAAAACCACCAATAGTGGATCCGGTTACTCCTGGTTGTCCGAATGCTCCTGCAAATCCCATTGTGGTACCTCCAACTCAGCCAACTGGTTGTCCTCCGTCTTCAAATTCTCCCTGTCCGAACAATTGCAATAACAATTGTAATTGTCCCAACAATTGTCCCAATTCCAGCACTCCTTGCCCGACTCCTTCACCAAATACTCCTCCCACAAATCCTCCAACTCCAAGTCCTTTCCCTACTCCTTATCCCACTCAAAATCCCCAACAACCAGATAGTACACCCCATCCCTATCCCAATCCCACTGCTCCAACTATTCCACCACCGGCACCCATTACCATTTGCCCAAAAGGAACAATCCTAGTAAGAGGCAACTGTCGCCTGCTCTTCTGCGGAGGACATGGAATCTACAACGAGGGTCGCTGCGTCCAGGCTCGGTGTCCTGCAGGCTATATTTGGACGGGACTCAGGTGCTCGAAGCCCCAACCTGTGGACATTGGCAACATTCACATCGAGAACAATTCATACCAGACGTCGGGCAATCTCCCCCACCTGATTACGAATAATGTGAACAACGTCAAGGTCAATGCCTCCATTGTCCTTCAAGGACAAAGCTCCCAGGAGGAGGAGGAGGAAGAGGAGGAAGTGGTGGTGCCAAGACCACCCGCAGGACCCTGCTGCAATGTGGTGGCTCCCAGGATTTGCACCAACCAAGCGGATCAGATCGGTTACAAGTGCTTTAGCCGGACTCAGCAGCAATGCGGATCCTTTTGCAGTGCCAACAAGGTGGTGCTTGCACCATCGACTGTCACCACTTGGACGCAGGACAACGCCCAGATGGTGGTGATGCCGCCCAACTGGGTGGGGCAGGGTTGCCAGTCCACCGGAGGCATCTGCCAGCCAGCTCAGAGTAAGTTTTAGTCAGTAACTAACAGTAAATAACAAATAATAACATAAAATAGAAATAACTTAAACATAAATGTCTCTGGTTGTAAATTAAATAATAGATTTATAGAAATAAATAGATTTTTGTTATAGTTTAAATTAGCTATCTTCTGTGAAATCAAGTTTTAATTAAGTAAGATTTCAGACAAGGAACTCTAGGAAAATTTTTTAAGAAACTTTGCTTTCCATTCTCGATTTAGACTTCTACGACTGCAGCGGTTGTGCCATGGGTGATTTTTCCACTTGCTCCTCGTATTGCTACTCCTACAAGTGCAGCAACCACAATTGTGCCTATTATGACCAGGGCCAATACTGCTCCCAATATCCTGGCCAAATCGGTTGCCGTGCAGATGATGGATGGTTTCCAGCAGAATAAAATTCAGAATGATTTTTGTAATAAAAATTGAATAACATTCAATAAAACTTTTGGGCTTTGTTATATAAAACTTATATAAACTTCTTCCATTCTTTAATAAGTTAACTTAAAGTTCTGTAAATTGTTTACTTATTTGACAGCAGGTGTATCCAAAAGTTCTTATAGTTCGATCACTTGACGTCACAGGCCAACATGTTGATAATAAATAATGCGTCATATTCGAACATTCCTAGCGCCATACCAATAAACTCTTGAGTTTGAACTTTGAAAGCGGAAGTGCTGTGAGTGATCTTAAATGTTTCTTAATGGGCTTCTACTAATTAAAATTCAGATGTAGAGTGCATCGTAGAGTGCTGAAAACCTTATCAGTTCTCTAATAAATAAAACCAACCATAATCGTTCGCATGTGCCAATATTTGTGCAGCATGAGGAATCGTGGAACTCCGCGAGTGATTCGAATGGCAATTGAGTGAAAGCTTCGCTGGTAATCAATTCTTTGATAGTGTTATCTAGCCTTATCTTCGGAGGTGGGAAAGGGGCAAGTGGGTGGCTCCTCAGCCAACACTCAACCATTGCAGTTGAGACTCCACTTTTCGCACCAGCGGACGTACCATAAAATCGAAGCGAGCCGAAGAAACCGCCAAACACTCAATAATGCCGCATTCCAAGGTGAGTAATAAACTACCGGGATCACCAAAGTCCGAGAATTTGGCTCGGTTTTAATGCTAATTGGATTTTCTGTTCAAAATGCCAAAAATGTGAGCGATAGTGAGAAAACCACTGCCAAAAATATTTCAAGGCGATTAAATTTTTTCACGCCTTTCTTATCAAGCGATCGTTATGAAATTTGCCCGATTGTCAGATGGTAGCGAATTTGATGGGCCTATTAATATTAAAGATAACATCACATATTATTGATTCTTGGCAACCTAAAGTAGTTATTGTATGAAGAAAAAAAGGTTATTGATTTCCTAGATAAAAACAAAAATACTCTTTGAAAAATAAACTTGCTAAATAAGAATTTAATAGCAATCAATGACTAAAGGGTGTTGATTGACTTTGATTTTCGTTGAAGGTTCTCAATTAAGCAAATGCCTAAACGTGAAAAAAGTTTTAAGTCTTATCTTATCTTTAAAGATTGAAAAATGAAGTGTTAAGAGTAAAAAAGTAGATTTCCTATTTCCGAAAAATGCAAATTCAAGAATTTTGTTTATACTTACTGGCTGATTATCAGCGATGAAGTCATTCGATTTTGGCGATTAGTTTTAGTCTTCTATAAAACTTAGGACTAGGCGAACTCCCACGAAATTCGATTATGTTTTTTGTGTTCTGAACATTTGCTGATTAAGAACTTATTTTGCAGCTGCTCTTGTTGACTGTGGTTGGACTTCTCCACCTCCTGTCTTTCGGAACCACCACTGCGGATCAGCTGAAAAACAACACGATTGTGGTGCAAACTCCCCTTCAAAATTACGATCAACCCACTCTAAGGGACTACGAGGAGTGTCAGACAAACAGGGATAATTGCATAAATGTTTGCGATGGTCTTTCAACCTGCGAGGATGAGTGCCCCGTTTGCCCGGAGTTGTACGACAAACCCCTGATGGTTCAGGGCATCAACGATACGAATATAGTGGCACCGCCACAACTGCCCATTAATACTACGAATATCATTCGCCTGACCAACGAGATCAACAACATTATCGAACACCAAATTCAGAATCGCAACGAAGTGAATGTTCAGGTGCAACAGAATGTGTCTCAAGTGGGAGGACGCTTTGGATTGGGCTACAGCGACCAGGGATCCTGTTGCTATGTGGTCCGATTGGATCGGGAATGCGAGCAGGAGGCTGGAAAAGATTGCCGGGAGAAGAGCCGCCAACGGGTTTGCGGTGAAAGGTGCCAGGCCCGCGTGATGTTGGCCAAACGAGTGGTGCAATGCGAAGCCGAAGATTCCGACATTTGCCACGAAACCATCGAATACGTTCCAAGGAGGAGGAAATCCCACTCGAGAAGGAACAAACAGCAGGCGCCTTGTCAGTATTTCGGCAACAGTTGGCCCTACTTCACATGCGGTCAAATTCCTGGTCAGAATCTGAACGTGGTGGAACCTCCGAGGGTTAAGCGATCCACTTGCCAACAGTGTCTGAATATGCCATATGGATCCATCCTGCAGAATGGACTGCCTCCCCAGTGTGCAGGTTGCTTTCAAGGGTTCGGGGCTCCCATGATGCCCATGTACAATGCTCCCTTTATTTATAATCCCTATATGCCATATCCACCCTTTGGCAACTTTCCAGGAAACTATAACAACGGAAATTCCGGAAATAACAATGCAATTAATAGTGAAAAGAATAATGGCAACAGCAATGCAGGGGATATAGTATCAGGATCAGGAGACGGTGAATGGATCTTGTGCGACGATGATAACATCGAGAACTGCCTCAACAAAAGTGACTTACAGCAGGGACCTCCCGCTCATCAGGAACTGCCACAGGATAACAATAAATATCCTTACGATGATGATTACAACGTTGAAGTTCAGCGAAGGCGAAGACGACAAAATTCAAGACAATTTGTGCGATCTGCTTACAGCAAACGCAACCGAGAAAATATCTGATCTAAGCCAGATTTAACTATAAAACCTTGAGATTTTCTGCGAAAGTTTTTTGTCCTCATATCTACTAGTATTCCTAAGAAGACAGCTAACAATTATTTGTGTATAATATTTTTCCAAATAAATGATCTTTTCAAAACATTAATGTGGGTACTTTCTTATTTTACTACGAGAGGAAAAACTTCCAACAAAGAATATAGTAGAAGAGTTAGTGAAAACCTTTAGAAGCTATTTTTGCAGTTCCAGTTTTAGTTATCTGATTGCTATACAATAGAACAAATATAATAAATAGTATTGCTTCATAACAATAAAAATAGTAAAAAAAACATTGCCCGTTTGCCCCAATTACAAATTGCTCACTAAAAGCCAGAAATGTCCGTTTTATATAATCCCGATAGCTTATCAGCCTTCAAATGCAATTAACATCCAGCCCAAGTGTACTTTAAATAACGATTTATTTGATAGGCAGGCTATGGAGCAGGGTGACGGGGCGGGGAGACCTCGTTCTCCTTAAAGACTAAACAACGTTTAATAAAATCTGGATTCGTCCTGCTCGAATGCTTTCGCTTGCGATCTAGACATACATAATGTTAATAATTTGATTAGATGTGAAAACATTTCTTGTGGCATTTGAATAGCAGGTAGATAGTTTCTAGGCTTTCGAGCGAGGCTCGGGGATCGTCTCCACTGCCCCTCGCTCCCTTCTTTCGATGAACAATGGTGGAACAAGACTAATAGAACTTATGGTAATATTGCGCGTGTGTTGATTTTAGTTGGTTTGTCCGCTACAATTTTAAAGGCCGTCATTTTGGCATAGGGCTTTATTTGATGCCCAGTTCCTTGAGTTCGGTTTCTTCGTCCACAGAGTCCTCGTCATCAGATCCATGCACCGATGGAGCTGGTGTGGTGTGACCTGTGGATTTATATAATAATTAGTAATGGCATCATTTTGATATAAATATTTCCAAAATATTTTTCAAACAATTCTATCCATTTACACGTTTTAATTATAGATGTGGTACACCTGCACATTATAGTATTTTTAAGTTGTCTAAAAGTATTCAATGATTTTGATTCAGATCCTTATCAGTTCATCTATCAAAATTGCGAAGCAAGATTACGAAATAAAAATATTTCACTGCTTACTTTTAGACCTAATTTGTTTTTTACAGACATTAAAAATAAGCAAACGCAGCTGCTGGAATTTATTAGCCAGAAGTATGTAGAACTAAAATTAAGAATGTCCAACAGCTGTTTTATTTTAAACTGAACCGAAAATATCAACAATAAAAAGCTCGTAAACAGAGATTCAAAATGCATAAAAAGTGGAATGTTTGGAGTACAATATTTTGGAATATCTAGTTATGTCTAGCGATCACAATCTTCATCCTCCCACTTACGCGATGAGGTAGGACTTGGCGGTTCGCTTTGTGGTCGCGAGAAGATCAAGTTGTTGCGCGAACCGTAGAGAGTCAGCTCGTCCACATAGTCTGGGTAAACAGCCTGCAAGGCCTTAACCCTGGCCTGTCTATAGTACTGCAAGTAAATAAACCTTAAGTAAATTACATTTAAACAGAAATAAATGAGTACTAACAATGCCGAGGGTGCGCCAGTCGAGCAGATCGCTCAATCGCTCCGTGCGATTACGCTGGATGATGCGCTGTCGGCGGTTGAGCTTGGAGAACTCCATCATGAAGCTGGACAACTGCTGGACACTGTTCTCCAGACCGATGTAGCGGCGATCCACGATGTAGATGCCGTAGGACTTGGGGTCGCTGATGTGCTCCTCCATGAAGCAACCGAAGCCGGACAGATTGGTGGTCACGCTGGGAATGCCCATCACCGTGCACTCGGCGGGTGTGTAGCCCCAGGGTTCGTAGTACGAGGGGAAGACACCCAAGTGGCAGCCGCGCACGAACTCCTCGTAGTCGATGCCGAACAGTGGGTTCGTGGACGTCAGGAACTCCGGATGGAAGACCATCTTAACGCGATCGTGTCGCGAGTTGAACAGATGACAGCGACGAATGGAGGACAGCACCGGATCGTTCCAGTCGTCGGCCACATTGTGCGTGGTGACCGGTGGCATCGAATCGCGCTGCATGGCGAACATACAGCGCTTGATCTTCACCAGATCCTCCTTCTGCAGCAGGTCATCGGCACTGGGTATGTTGCCCCTGAGGCACGTGTCGAACATCCGCTTGCCCACCTCCTGTTGCACGTTGTTGATCGTATCGCGCAGCTGCTTGATGACCGCATGTCCTCGCAGCGAGTCCACATTGAAGTTGTTCGTCTTGGTGGGGAAGATGAGGAAGGCCACCACCGTGGTGTCCGGCTTCTCGTGCTTCAGCATCGCGTTCAAACGAGCCAGAGCCTCGATGAAGATGTCAGCTCCCTTATTGCCGAACTCATAGCGACCGGCGATGAAGAAGTACAGGGTCTTGTCCAGATCAAAGTCAATGTGTCTATGAGGAAGATACGAAACAAGTTTTTAATAGTTGTTAACAGAATTCCATAATCTATTTTCCCTACACAAATAATTCAGAATCATTTTAATCCCTTTTTCTGTAATAGGTTTCTATTTTAAAACCAATAAACAAGTTTTATAGCATTCAATCTTGGCAAACATTTATAATATGTAATCGCACTAAACAATCTGATTCCATTAATATTGAAAATGTCCCATGCTAGCATTGATTTATTATATATTTGAAATCATATAATCATGCACGTAGATTACTGAATGTCATGTTTAGATCGATTAACCTTAATTCAAGGGTGTAGATTTCAACATTCAAGATTGAAAGCATTTCCGCATAGCATTAAGTATTGGAAATACTACATGTTTCGTTAGCTTGTAAGTTGGTAAACAAGTAGAAAAGCCTTAAAGATGCATTGCAACATTTTGGTAACATAAAATGTGATATGTTCACCCAGATTTCTCGGGGTTTACTTACCCGTAGAAATGTCCCCGCACGAATTCGTTGATCTTCTCCTTGGCAACAGCGTGCAAGTTCTGGAACTCGTGGATGGCCGAGAACTTCTTGACATTTAGACCGTTCGGCGTGATGATGTCCGGCTTGCGCTTGAGCAGATGCTCCGCCTCGTAGCCCGTAATCTCCGAGACGGTGGTGAACACGTGAGCCAAGTGGGTGGCGCCTCGCTCGAGGCAATAGCGATGGTAGATCTGCCGCTTGCCGGCCTCCTCGTCCACGGCGAACTTATCCAGATTGTTGTAGAAATCGGTATTGCCGGCGCACAAGTAGCGACCCAGCAATGTGGCATGGGTGGTGAAAACAGTGGCGATCTCCACCAGACGAGTCCGCAGCACAATGAGACCCACGCCAGCCTGCCACTCGTGGAAATGAGCCACGATCCTCGGGGCATTCAGCTCGTGGTTTTGCGAGTAGGTAACCGCGAAATTGCGGAACTCCTCGAGGAACTCGGCTATCATGAAACCGAGGATAATGGCATCGTTGGTCTCGATATCCAAATGAGGTATTCCAATATGGCACTTCTCCCACATCTCCGACTTGAACTGATCCAGCTTCCAGGCGGCGGAACCGATATCGAAAAGGATCAGCTGAGGATTTCCATCCACCAGCCAGCGACCAGTGTGGATCTTATAGCCCCGCGATCGCAGTGAGTTCACAGCATCCAGCAGAGGGTTTCCCCTGGGGAACTCCATCTCCTCCATCTCGGTGCGGGCACATTGCTCCTTGTAGGGACCCATCATGCACAGCTGCTCGCCCATCTCCTCGGTGGAGACGTAGGCCTTCGACCGGATCACCGTGTAAATGCCGCCCACCTTGTTGGCCACCTCCCATGCCACCTCGAAGTTCCATCGGTTCTCCCGCGAGGCAATGTCACCCCGATCGAAGTAATCCTTCAGGTCCGCCCCGGACTCCACTCTCGAAAAGCGACGATTCATCTGAAGGAAGGAAGATTAATATAAATTAGTATCGGTGTTACTTTCTTCTGGGGGATCCCTTTATAATTCCCACCCTTAGGGCGTAGGAGGTGGACTCGTTGTCCTCGAAACGATAGGACTGCTGCCTGCGCATCATCTTGATTTATGCTGGTACACTAATTTAATCTAGGCACCGCTGATCTAATGCTGAACCTCTCCGTTGAGGCTCTCGTCGCGGACTGATAGTGTCAACTAAATTTAGCTACCGGCTTGACCCATATTACAAGCTATGGATCCTTATCGCCTTACACTTGAACACGCAGAAAAATAAACAACTAAACTTCAAATTTATAATGGTAAATACATATTTGTTATCTGCTAAATTGACTCATGTTTATAAACAAATATTTACGGAAGAGGGTTTATAAAAAACAACTAAGCTTTAGCTATAAACTTTAAAATTCTTTCATAAATGTAAAATTTTGTAAACTGATTAAGTATAAACTGTTTTAGAACGCCTTAATTTCTCCCTGTGCATCGACCGCTCTTGATGTTGTTGTTGCTTTAGTGGTCATTGTCATTACACGCCGGCATTTGTTGCATCACCACGCTGCGAGGTGCATTCGTATCGCTATCAAGCGAATGCAATTGCATGGGTGCAGTTTATGGGCTGATAAGCCGGGCTATGCGACATCATCCATGTCCCTGACACTCGGTCACTTTTATGTACATATGTATGTACGTGCCAATTCAACACATGTGGATGGACGCACATTGGGCTGTCCATAAACCAAAGGTCTATTTTCGGATGTCGGAAATGTTCGCCATCATCGGACAAAGATGAGTTTGCCAATTTTCCCCCTCTATGTGTATACAGGAAAATTTGGCAAATGTTTTCATTGACAGCGTCACAAAATGAGAGGAAATGCTGTGTAAGAGCGAGATACTCATTCAGTGCGATTTGGTACAGATTTATCAAAATAGTAGGGTTTGAATATAGAGGGTTAACTTGCTCTGAAGAAGTAATCAGAAGAATAACTATTAAATACACATTACAAATTAATTTAAATTACAGTCCTTCATTTTTTTTGAATTTAAAATTCTCAATAATTTCAGTTTTAAATGTTGTGTCTTTAATTTACTAATAAAATTTTATGTTCGTCAATTTAAGTCGTATGTTGCCATAAGTTCTCTTGGGTGTTGAGTTGTTAATTGGATATTGCCCAGAATGACCTTGAAAAGCAACAAACTTCATGCGCCTATAAAAAATATTGGCCACCACAATGACTTTTGGTTCAATTGACTTTCAATGGATTTCTTAACTCAGGCAGAACACACCCACCAGTTATCTAATCTGTATTGATATAATAAACTGAAGTTTTCTGGACTCGTAATGTAGTTTTAAAAAAAGAGCTGTAATTATTTAAGCTAAACACCCAACAGATTGAGTCCACCTTTGTACTTCCACTCCACAACACTTTCAAAGGTCAAATTATGTAGCACTGTTATCTATCCTACGATCTGAACAAATTTGGTGACAGATATTGGCTATTGCTTAAAATATCTTTGTATCTTATCACGTTTTCAGGACTTTATCCAGTTGCAGCCGGTAGATGGCGTGATATCCAGATAAGGAAGAGAGGGATCTTTTTAACTATCACTTGAATACACTTCTCTCTTTAGCACTTTTCACTCAGAACTTTGTTTGAAAACAATTCACGAAGGAATGCGAGAAAAAGTAAAAGTGAGGAAAACCTTTTGGCACGAATTCTGTCAATTAAACAATTGTCGACTTCTTACACTTGATAATTTTTATTCAATTGAATAGAAAGAGGTGAAAATTAAGGCGCTCTTGCTATCTCGCTCCCACCCACACACACGCGCTGCTGCAACACAACTCCAAGAACAATAACAACAGCTAGCAGCTGAGAGACCTTAAAGTGTGCGTGTGTTTGTGTGTGGCAGGCAGAGATATTTTTTCATTGCCAGAGCGGCAGCTAGAAGTCAAATAAAGGTCAGTGGCAGTGCTGCTGAGAGAGAGAGCATTAAAAATTGTTCACCATTGTTGGTATAGTTTCTTCTTGGGCCCCCTTTTTCTTTTTCTTTTTGTTTTTTTTTCACATTTTTATTTATTGTTGTTTTCAACCCGCTCAACAAGTTCAAAACTTGATAATTTTGTTTTTGCTGCACTGTAATGTGAGCAAGAGAGAGGTGGAGAGAGCACCAGGAATTTGAATGTTTGTTGTAGTCGTTTTTTAGTTTTGTATTTTCATGCGGCCGGCGCATTGATAAGAGCCATAACGCTTATCACCGCTTTTTGTTTATGTTTTGCGTTTATCACTTTTCCAGCAGGCAGTGCGAAAAGTCTGAGTTGTATGTTTCCAAGGCGTCCGCTTGGCGCCAATTGAAAAAATGCAACAAATAAAACCGCTGATAACGACTTTTTTTGTTTGTATTCGCACTTTGGGTGTGGGTGTGGGGTAATTCGCAATTTGGCACGCGCACAGTTGTAAATTATATAGTAGAACGCGGTCCCCCGATCTCGGAAATAAAATCACCTTAGAGCCACAGCAGTCGCTGTTGTTGGCTACACGAAACAAAACGAAAAATTAACAAAAAGAAAATACACGGGCACCCGGGAGAGTTGGGTTCTTGGTAGAGTAAGTATAAGGTTGTATCGTCGGATCTGTCAGTCCCTTATCACTATAATGAGTGCGAGAGAAAAGGTGTTTACGAAAAAGTGCGAAAGGAACAGCAATACAGTGCGTTGTCTAACCCTTATGCGGTGCATGGGGCTTGAAATGGCCTGGGATATGGCAATAAGTGAAAGAGCCATTTGAGCGGTAACAGACTAAACCTGAACCCAAACGTTTTGACGTCCAGACTTCTTCAAGCTAGCTAACAGATATGTACTTAACATTAAAAAACGTTAGTTCAAACGTATACATTTGCTCAAACGGTTAACATTGGAGAAAGTTGGCTCAAACGGTTTAACCGATAATCCGAGTGAACCCCACGAACGTCAAGGGACTAAGCCCGAACGATTTAATAGTCGCAGAGAGGAAAGCGGAGAGAGCGCAAGGAGAGAGTGCAAGGAGAGAGAGGGCAGGTGGACAGCGTGGCTGTGCATGGGGCGGCCAAAAATACCTAATCATATTTCAAATATTGTTAAAATCAAACAGCTCGAAGAAATATTTTCAAAAATGTGCGCCAATTGTAAATAACGTAAGCCAAATACGTAAGAGTCATTGCCAGTAGGAACTTAAATCAAAAAATTACTTGGGCGGGAATTTTAAATTGAAATTCTGTATAATTTAATTAAATTATTAGACAACTTAGTGTCTTTCATGTTTTTAAATGGTTAAATTTGAATCATATACGATTTGAAATTCGACTACACTTAAACTGCATTGAAACTGTAAGTCACAAGTTAGGACTTTAATTGTATTGGAATATGTTACAATTTAGTTTATATATCTATATTTTGGAAAGATATTTTGAAATAAAACTGAATCCGACCTTGATCCCATTCGAGTTGACTTTATGGACCTTTAATTGACCACCGTCAGAGTTCACCTTCAGTTTCATTCAGTTTTCGCATAAAAAGACATATTTCACACAAATTTGAACAGTAGTCGTAACCTTGCTCTATAAACAAATTAATGTCCGCTCACTTAACCTCAATTAAAACTGGAAGATGGACACGCAAGTTCTCTGGCGCCTTTCCCTTTCCGTTCTTCCAGTTTTCGTTTTTATGTTCATTAATTGAAAAGTGTGAAGAACAGGCAATCATTTACCAATAGAAAGAACGGGGAATAGGAAGAGGGAAAGGATAACTGGGTCAATTGAGTGACCACAAATATTCCAATATCGTTTTAGCTTTCTTTTTTATTACCATTGGAGTGGTGCCCAAATGCAAAAATGTTTTAAATTGACCAAGAAGATAATATTAATGTCAAATTTGTTCCTATCACCAGGTGGCGCTGCAGCATCAATTGACTTTCTCTGCGGTCCACAAGGTCAAAGGACATTAATATTATTATTACCTCCCCATCCCCTTTTTATCATCTCCCCACACTCTTGTTTACCGCTCGTCTGCTTTGAATGTCTTTGAAGCGATTTGCTCTTTGTGTCCTTGATAAACATCCATTGATAACAGACACAATGAAAAGCCAGCAACAACACAGATACCAGCTTTTATGTTTATGACGCATCCTTGTTGGAGTTAGCTAACTGTAAATCATTTTGGCTTGCATTTAGCTCACTTGTTTCATCTTCTCCGTTTTATCCTCCACCTCCGTTTTCAGTTAGTTTTGCAATTTCCTGCTACGACAATTGTCACAAGGTTTCTCATTTACAGTTACAGTTTACAATAGTCACACTCACTGGCTTATCTGTGGGCAGTAAAATAACAAAAATATTTTTGGTAATTGCTAGGTCAAGGACAAATGCTGATTATGTTTTGGCCCTCTGCCAAATAACTGAAGCTGTGGGGTGAATTCTGGAATTAAATTAGATGCCTTGAATGTGGCCTTTAAAGGAAAATCCAGGCATAACCAAAATTATCCTATGATAGATAATATATTCATAGTATTCTTGGTCAACTTCAATAGTGGCGAAAATATAATCATATCATAATTCAGACTTATCTTAACTATTATTCACAAAAACCCCACAAAAACTAAGAATGAAACGGGAATACGAAAATAAACTGGAATAATCGGGGCCAAGTGCCTTGACCACGCCATTAAGAGCTTAATTAAAAACTTGGCCATAATTCATTAGTGTCCATGGCCAGGCACGTGAACTTCAGTCAGTCAGCTCTGGAATCAGGCGATGGGTGGGAATCCAACTTAACCGACTTAAGGTTAAGGGACGTCCAAGTCAAATGCGACTAATTTATGTCATGACACCCACCACTAACCCGCCCTCACCCAAAACAACCGCTGTCGAAATGTTGCAGGACAATAAAGATAACAACGCAAGAAGCTTCCACACAGCGTCGAGGTTGCGTTGATTGCGTTTGTGCCGCACAACAGCCAAGACAGCTGGAAATTAGTAATTACTAAGGCATCCAACTAATACATACTTATTAAAAGGGTATTTGAAGATTTTCATATGGTATAATAAAACAATATTTATATATCTGTAAGTACATTTATGATTATAATTTAAACTATTAAATATTATACTCATACCACTTGTTTTTGCGACCCACACATCTGAAATAAATTATAAAAAAAATCGAAGTTTAAAGTTACATACATATTTGCATTTTTAACGTCTTGAAAGCCATAATATATTTACCCCATATTATAATAAAAACATTTTCAGAAACTACAATTTATAAAAACTTAAAGCTATTTAATATAAAAATACAGCTTCAATGAATATTATAGCCAACACTTCCTAATATCGCAACCTACTGTGTAAAAACTGTTGCCTACTTGGCGGCGCATGCGTTGGCACATACCGAACATGCAACATGCTGAACTTGGTGGCCACTGGGGCTGTTGCGGGTGGCGGGCGGTTGGCTGCTGTGGGCGGTGCGCCCCGCAGGATGCTCTGCCACTGTTTGTATACAAAAAAGGCGCCACAGGAGCAGCGAGGAAGGCGGCAAGAGCAGCAAAAACAGAAGCCGCAGCAGCTGACGACGCGAAATTCGAATTTCGAAAACTGTTATCAACAAATGCCGAGTATCTGTGTGAGTGTGCGGCTGTAGCTGTATGTGTGTGGGCGTTTGTGTGTATGTGTTGTGGGGGATATCTGTGTAGGTGAACGCCTGCCAGTGGCAGATGAAGCCCATCAGTTGGCGGCTGTTGCACGTTGCGTGCGGTTTCGTTGGTCTCCGAACTCCGAGCTGCGTGCTTTGAACAACGAAAAAAAACACATCCTTCGTGTCCTCGGGAAATATTCAAAGTGCGTTCCGTTGTTGCTGTTGTCGTTGTCAGTTGTTGGCTTTTTAATAACTCAGCAGCGAGTGGCAACTAGTCGCAACAACTATGCCCCGACTATCGCCAGGACAAGTGGCAGACCTGTCATTTACTATTCGCCTTTGGCGGCAGTCGGTTGTCCTCGCGCATCTCATCTAAATTTTTAAAATGGTGATCAGTTCAAAACTACACTTGAATTCCCCTTAAACGGTTGAAAATGTAGGCTACTAAAATCGAATAAAAACAGAGATGTATAAATAATAATAATCGTAAAAATAAACAAATAAATACATAAGTTCAAAGGATTTAGATGTTAACGATAAAGAAAACTTAATTAGAAAATTAATAGATTGAATTTATACAAAACTATATAAAACAAAAAATAAACTCCGATAAATAAAACAATAAAAAACTACTTCGAATAAACAATATATTTAACTCATATTACTTTGAGAACTAACAATTAATTTCCCAAAAAACTTGGTAATAATAAATTATGTTAATAATTCCCCTACGCACCTTACACATTTTTAATTAATGTGTTCCATAAACGCTTTGCTGTGGTATTAAGTATACGCCCGGTGAACCAGCTCGAACGGCGGCATAACTTTTTCCGGCTGCACCTGCCACAGTAAAATCCTCCAAGGGGCAACATCAAAAACCACTTTATAATGCGATTTGTAGGGAAAACCAGTTAAATTGCGTAATTAATTCAAGCGAACAGCGCTAGACAGAAGCGAAGACAGTAGCGCAAAATAAATTTTTAATGAAAATAACTCAACAGCTATTTAGTAGGTTTCTGTATTCTCTTACATTGGTTTCTTTAGTTTTAAATATTACAAGTTTTAAGAAGGTTTTCAACATCTTTTACTCTTTAACTTTGGTATTTTCCCTACTTATTTATTATACCCTTGCAGAGCAAAGGGTATTATAATTTTGGCCAGAAGTTTGCAACGCAGTGAAGGAGACACCTCAGACCCCATAAAGTATATATATTCTTGATCAGCATCACCTTCTGAATCGAAATACGTCTGTACGTCTGTCCGTCTGTCCGTCTGTCCGTCTGTCCGTCTGTCCGTCTGTCCGTCTGTCCGTTTCTGCCTAAACTAGTCTCTCAGTTTTAAAGCTATCTCGCTGAAACTTTCCCAAAATGTGTGTAGTTATTGCACGCAGTATATAAGTCGGAACGGGCCGGATCGGCCGACTATATCGGATAGCTCCCATACGAGAGAATGAAATAAAAAATTCTTACTCCGTTGTTTTTGATCAGATCGACTTGAATTCTTCAAGATGGCGTTTTCTAACTGTTATTGAATTTCGGATTAAATTTGATCAAAATCGGATAACTCTATCATATAGCTGCCATAGGAGAGATCGAAAATTATATATAGAATTAATGGAAATAAATTGATAACATCGTTGTTTTTTATCCCACGAGCATGATTTTTTGAATATAAAGTTTTTTAACAACGTTTATATTGAGAAAAAAGTTTCATAAAAATCGGCCATCTATATCTTATAGCTGCCATAGGAAAGATCGAAAAATCTATATAGAAATAATGGAAATAAAATTATAACATCGTTGTTTTTCATCAGACAAGTATGATTTTTGGAATAAAGAGTTTTCTTACGACTCTTGAATTACGAATTAAATTTGATCAAAATCGGACAACTAGCTCCCATATGATCTATAGTCAAAAATATGGAAAATGAATAGAAAAATCGTCTTAGGTTCGATGTTGTCTAGCCTTTATGAGTTTTGTTCGACATATTTGATGACTGCAAGGGTATATAAGCTTCGGCTTGCCGAAGCTAGCTTCCTTTCTTGTTTTTTATCAATTTTAAACACTTCTTATTACATTAATTACAGAGTATAAATAGCTTCAACTCCTTAAATTTATTATGCATTGTTGAGGCCCCGAGCAAAAAGCTGTTAAGGAGGAGTAAAAGTGAAATAAAGGAATTGCGAGAGTTCCTTCAAGTTATGCTTAGCGCATCAATTTTTCAGGCAATTTAATTGAAGGGCTTTCGAAGAATTCCCGCATTCGAGCAAGGAAAACCGAATCACTTTATATGACGAGCCGAGATTCATTTATCCTGGCAATAATTCGGTCGTCACGCCTTCACATTGGATGAATCCCCTGCCCCGCGGAGGTTCAAATCCCGCTAAAACCAAACGGAAATAAAAACACGCGGCAAAAAATGAAATCAAATCAAATAAAACCGAATTATATGAGCAACGCGGGCCCTTAAAATATATTCCTTGTTCATCCGCACATTTCACGTTTCCTCTTGTTTTTCGAGCAGGTTAAGCGGGCTGCAAATCCGCATCGTGTAATGAAAATCAAAGTACATAAATATAAAATTAAATGTCGTAAATAAAAAAAATAATAGCAACGAGACATATAAAATATGTATATGTGAATGTGTGGAACGACGCGACTCGCGGGACAACAAAGCGAAACTTAAGAAACGTGCCACATTAAAAATTTAAGAATCTTCGAAAGCCGACAAAAGTGTAAGGAGAATATAAAGCCGAACAGCGCTTGGTAAGCTGATAAAATTAACTTGATTTATTTGGAATAAAAATTAATTTAGAACCTGAAAAGTCTCTTGAAGTTATTAATAGCTTGCATTTTTGAACACCACTTAATTTTAATGATTTACTTAAAATACAAAAGTTTTTTGATTGAGGGCTTAGCCTAGTGTAAACTCATGTAAATTAATTTTTATCCCAATCGTTGATTCTATTTCTTTTGTTCATCCTCCAAAAAGCCGAGCTTAAGCTTATTTTATTTTTCGTCTAACACATTCTTTTCCACATACCAAGAAATTATAGGCGCGTCGTTAGCTAATCAATGAGCGGAACTCTGATTTATCAGCTTCCTATTGATTTATTTGAAATGACGCTGAAAGCATTCCACATCATTCCATCCCACACCATTAACGCTCTCTTTTTTTTTGGCAACTTTAACGTTTACGAGGCTTCTGATTCAACTTGTGCATTTAGACGAAAATCGTGGGGCAGCGGAAGTGCCATAAAAACAAAGTCCTGGCCATAAAACACAAGAGATGGTCTGACCAAAGTGCAGCCCAAAAAAAAAAAAGATTCGCATATGTAGCGGATATGGCATAAAAAAAGTTATTCAATGGCATTTCATAAATAGTTTTATGCGGCACATCAAAAATACATAAAATCGAGGAATGAATATAAGGAAGAGAAAAGAATGCTTTTAAAAGGGAAATCATTCAAAGATTTGGCTTGGGGAAAATTGTGTTTCGGTTTAGCCAAGCAAAATTCTATGCAAATGAGTTTCGGGGCGAGAAAAGTCTTTTCAATTTGATTGTTTTGCCTGCTTTGGTTTTTTTCTTGCGAAGTTTCCATTGAAGCATTGGAATTTGCCAAAAGCCACAGCAAACAAAACAAATAAAAAAGGAAAAAAACTGAAAGGGGAAAATGAAAACAAATAGAAAATGCCGTGAAAGTTTTATACGATTTCGAAACAGGCGTGACACGGGACCAAAGGGTTTCCGAAGCCAGACAAAATCTCCTGATGAATGTGATGTCAGTAGGGAGTCCTTGGAATATGGGTCCATACACACCCACACCCACACACACACACGTTTCGTGTTAACTGTCTTAAGCACGGAAATGCAGTCATACGAGTTGACTTATGGGAAAAACTTGCGTTGTTAATGGTAATGGTTTCCTTAGACTTATATTGTTCATTTATTCAATGAAAAAGTCTGTTCTTTCTTTTTTTATATATTTATTTATTTAATTCATTTTAATATTTAGTATTTTTTAATATTTAACTGTTTTATACCTAAAATCATTTATTTTAATCATACATACAAAAAATACCAAAAATGTTTCTTGTATACCGCTAAAAATAGCGACAGAATTTTATCAACTGTCAATAATTGACTATAGTTAGCCATCATAAGCTTATCAGTAGCAAGTGTGATTAGCCTAATCAATGATATCACGCGGAAATAAACAAATCGGCAAGTGGCAAGCAAACACAGGAAATGAAGCAAATATAAAAGAGTAGATTGTAATTAGAGGAACATCACGCGGGTGAAATTGGGGTGGCAAATCCTACGTCACGGGGGTCATGTCTAAAGTTAGTTTTAGTCTAATCAGTCACACTGAGCGCCTAAAAATAAGTTAAATATATTTTGGTATCAAAGGGAGTTATGTACACTTGAAAACCTCTCCCCTTTTACCACCTCCTTTTTTGGTTGTCAAGTTAATAAACGTAAAATGAGCTTGTCCTATCAACAATTCTCATAACAATGAAATGCCCTCACTTTGGCACGTGAGCGAATAATGTACCTAAGGCATTTTTACGGATATGTCAGAATGTTCATATGGTTTGGAATCCATGTTTGCATATAAAGTTTGCAGTGCTTTGGGGGGAATATTTGCATAATACTTTGTACATCATAAAATTGTGGGGGAAACCGATATTTATGTACCTTTAATAGCATTTTCAACCGCATATTTTTATGTCATAAAACCCAACAATTCACTTTTTGTTTTTTTGGAAAGGTTTTGTTTTGTCTTTGGTTGGTTAAATATTTTGAATTATTTTTTTCTATGTTTTAAAAAATTACAGCAGGTAAAAAAGTGTATAGAATTCTTCGACTTTTCTCAAACACATTCCATTTGCATGAATTTTGTCGCTTGGGTGTTGATTATAATGATAAGCACTTTAACCACAGGCATGCAAATTGCCAGAAGGCAAAAACGTTAAAATTTAACAGCTTTGGCCTTCGCACACACATACACATACATATCCAAACACACACACGGATTCCCGTTTGCTTGATTGTGAGCAGGGAAAATGCTCCTCAGGCAAATTCAATTTTGAGTTCCCCGCCCTTTTTCTTTTCATCTTTATTGGAACTTTTCTAGTTCAGCACATTTGACACTTGAGATGTCCTTTTCCTATCGCCCTCTCTCTTTCCCATTCGCTTTAGCCGTCCCTTTCGGTTGTTGTGCGTGTGTGTGTGTGTGCTCAGTGAACCGTTAAACTGCTGACATGGCCACTCAATCTCACCTTGCAGCAACAGGTGACGGCGACCTGGCTTATTGAAATGTTTTCGACACTTTTTGATTGACGGCATCAGAATGAAAACAATTTGTTATTGAAAAATACTGCCTTGAATTTCTTTGACCTGAAAGAAGTTCAGGAAATTAAAGTTCAATTCTTTTTTGCAGGGCCAAGCTTGTCAACTGCGAAAGTGACAGATTGAAAATTGAATTCTACTGAATGCTGGCTAGTTATTTATTGTTATGAAAAATTCAGGAAAGTAATTAAGTGACCTGACAAACAATTTGAACAGTTTATTGGGATTACTTGACCTTATTCAAGTCTTGTTGTATTTTTACAGTATTTACACAATTTGCAAAGCAATTCGTCTTTTTAAGTCATTACTGTTCATTGATTCGTGCAATTATGTAATTATTCAAATATTTTGCTGTTCATTGCATAAATCACGGGACGCACGTGTTCGTAATGTGCGCCAAAAATCACAAAATTATAAAGGAAGTCTGCAAGAAAACTTGGCCAGAAGCATTTCAGAAACTTTGGCACTCTGCCCATTTCATCCTGCGGAATTTATTCCCTTAAGCTATGGCTAATAATCTGCGCCTGGCTAAGAAGATGGCCTGCAGTAGGTTTGTGGCCAATATTTCATTCTTTGCTTCGCCTTTAGGCCAGCAGCTTGGTGTTAAAGTTTTCCTCGGTTTTCCCTTTTTCGCCTCTGCGGTCCACAGATGTCATCCACCGTCTCCCCAGCTGGACTGCAGCATATCTCATTCTAATTTGCATTTTTATGCCTGTAAGTGATATTTCTTTTCGCACTCCCACTCACTCCTTCCCACTCTATTGCCATCTCTTTCGGGCAACACTATGTCTGCCTCTCTTTCTCAGCCAAACGGCAGCCAAGCGGAATACAGAATTTTTATGTTCAGTCACATGAGTAAGTGGATTCTGTGTTCTGTGTTCTGTGTTCTGGGTCCTGAGTTCTGTTTTCTGGGTGGCTTGTGGCTGGAATCGTGGCAAAAACAGGCCGGACTCTGGAGGAAGTTTCTGCTGCTCGGTGTGATAAAGTCTGAATTATTAAATATACATAAATCAAGAGACAACAGGAATTTGCGAGGTTCGAGGAAGCTTAAGTAACTACAGGTTGCACTCAGCAAAATACTTTCAATTTTAAAGTATGTATAAGAAATGATCCTTTATTTTTAGTTATAATACTAATTTGTTCAAAAAATTAAAGATAGACTTCTAACTCTTTTTTATTAAAAATCTGAAATATTTGTATTCAAAATAGCTCTTAAAAATTTAGATACCCAAATCTTAGGTTCAACTGTAACATTAAACATTAACGCCTCACTTGGCAAAGCCATAAAACTTTTCAAGCCTCTCTGCACGGCAGAGAATCTTGGCTAAATCGATGCCATATATCACTGCCATATGGATGTGCTGTTTATGGCACTTCTTGTTGCGGCAAGATTTGCATAATCAGCTTGCAACTAATTAAAAGGCAATCAACTAGAGATAACGAGTGGCTGAGGCACGAAAGCCACGTTGCCGAGGCAACCGAATCGTAAGCGGCTAAAGCGAAACACTCAACAAGCTGCCAAAATACACACATTTTCACCTGGTGCCTCCATCACCATTTCCATCCCTTTTTCCCTGTTTTCCCCACTTTATTTTCCTGCACCTGTTACTTCGAAAGACGGACCGGGAAAAGCAAACAGGAAAAGCGGGAAAATCGAGGCCCGTGTTCTGACCCAATCAGTGCGGCAGAAAATGAAATTTTCCCGGCTCTAATGGAAAACGGAAATGAAGTCCGTGAATATGCAAGTTGTGGCCTTATGCTGGGGTTCGAGTTTGCTAAGGTTAAGATTGGATAAGGTTTGAAGAGGCTTAGTAAGTTGATGAAAACTAAAGTCAATCTGCAGGTGGATAAGATTGAATATAGATTTATGCACCATGACTAGGAAAGTTTGCTCTAGGATTGGTTCAGTTAATGGGTAAAGTTGAAATGAAAAAGTAAGACAGAAACTAAACAGAAAATAAATAAGGAAAACTAAATTTAAGTAAACACACACTTAGTTCACCTTCAGCTTGTGAGAACTCTAAAGTATTTATGAAGGATAAAATGTTTAAGATAAACTAAAAATCTTTTAAAAAGTTCTTAAGAACTTATGTAAAAAAGTTAAAACCATAAAATAAATATTTAATACTGTTTCCTGTTTTTCACCCTTTAAAATTTAATTTTTCGTTTGCTGTTCGTCACATAACCAATCATTTTTAAATTTGTTGACGGAAGAAATTAGCACTCAAAACTTTTCGCCAGTTTTCGCCTTGGCTTTAATTGGCTAAGGTAAACAGGGAAGATCGCGTCCTCTTAGCAGTTTCGCCAACCGAAGGCAAAACCAGCGAACTTGAAAGAGTTAAAGCAAAACTTGGTCAACTTTGAGTGCGAAGGCGCAATTCTGTATCGGGAAATCCCATTAAAAGTTTTCCTG